CCAATAGTATACGGAATTTATTTTAACTCAATAGTCCAATAGGACTTTAAGTTAAATCATTAACAATTTAAACACCCAACCCTTTAAAACTTATCGATTTAAGTGGTACCAATTTTGGGTGTTGTGGGGTGTGAATACACTTCCCCACACGTAACCGTACTCCCGAACCCCAAATCTCTAAAATTCGCAGATCAAATCCTGGTTTAGACCGATAGGTCGAACCGGGACCAACGGTGTTCGATCCACCAATATATGATCGATGGCGACTCCGAGCAATTCGCGACGGATCCTCCGATCCCGAGGGGTGGTTGCGACACCAGCTTGTGGGGGAGTATCAAGTGAAGTAGATGAAGAAGATGCTCTGCAGCAGAAATGAAATGGTAAAGCAGAGCAGCTCGGTGTTTGAAGAAGAAGAAGCCTTACCCAGAAACGGAAACGTTTCTAGGTTCCCTTCCATCCAGCTCAAGCAAAGGAACGAGACGACGCCGTTGTGGAGTTCCGGAACTTACCATTGGGTGGAACCAGTTATGACGAATGGAGCTTTGCCAAGTGGCTTTATCTTTACTGTCATTTTAAATTTCAGTTTACAATTTCCATTTCTACTGTTTATGTATCGTGAACCAGACTCTTCCTTCAGCTGATATAAATTGAAAGCAAGAGAGATCTGCTCTCTTTGCGCGTTTCCCATTTCCATCGTGTCGTCGTTTATTCCGCTTACCCTAGCTCCAAGCTAGTTTTCACATCGTCGACCTGTTCCCCCAGCCTAACGTCCTCGCGTGGTCGGCGGCGGCGTGCTCGATACCGGCGCTTGGCCCGAGAGCAAGAGCTACGATGACACCGGGACTGCTCGGGGAATGACAACTCGTGCTAGGGTTGCCATTTACAAGGTATGCTAGGTTGGTGGCTATTTCAGCTCCGATATCCTCGCCGCCATGGATAAGTCCATCGAGGATGGAGTCAATGGCCTGAAGGTTTGGTCAAGGTGGACGGTTCAAAATAGGAGATTGCAGACGACGGAGGTGGTTGCGGACAGAGCAGTGGAAAAGCCCCAAATCAATTTCAGTTCACGAAGGAGAATGAGAAGATTTTTCTAGGGAAGAAAGAGGGAGCGGAGGACGAAGAAGCTCGATTTTTTTTAATTATAAATAAAAAGTATTATTTTTGTTACTGGCCGCTGATGTGGCATTTTTTGTTAAAATTTAATAACAATAACGGGCTATTAGTCATAACTTGACACACAACAATAGTTATGCCTAATAATTTGTATTTCGATAACTGTGGCTATAATTATTAGCTTCTTAATAGTTGTGACTAATATATAGTATTTACCCTTATCAACAAATTATATTACATGCTTCACTTGATATCATTCTTGCCACATGGCACTTTCATTGGTTCTCCCTAATTCAAGGAAGGATAAATTCGTCTACATTTCAAACGCATGCGTCCTGTCCATCTTTTTAATTTTTTGGAGCCTTATGTCCATTTCTCCTTTGGACAAAATTCTGTCCTCTTTTCCAATTCCCTTATTTACGACAGTATTTGTAGCACCGCAGCCGTTTTTACAATCCCAAATCCATACCGCCAACTAATTTCTCGATCGAAGTTTAGGAAAGAAGGCCACATCCACATCTACTTTCCTGACAATCAGCTGCATTGCAGAAAAATCCGACGTTGTCGTCCATTTGTGGTGTCGTTTGATTTCAATTCAGCAGTCGTCGTCGTGGTGTTCGGTTATTCTGCAGCTTGGTACGCCGACGGCAGCAGAAAGAATTGGGAAGCTAATGTGTGTTGTTAGCTTAATCAAATTCCTACCCTCTGTGGCATGTGCTCTATAATTATCGGGCCTTTGTAATTGTGATATCTTTGTTTTGTTTGACTAAGCGAAATTGAAAAGCAGAGATTAATTTGACATGTATGATTCGACATAGTTAAATTTGACATGTTTTTTATACAGTAAAATTGACCTTATAAACAAACAAAAATAATTGACAATGCTTATAGCATAACATCAGTTACAAAATACCAAAAGTGCATTTAATGATTAAGAGCCATTTAGGGTGTGCAATGGTTTGGTACGCATAGAGTAGAACCGGCCAAAAATAAAATATGGATTTGATTATACCAGAATAAATATATTATGGTCTGATCTTTGGTCTCATAAATTTTATAAATACTAAAGAAAATGGATCAGATTGATTCTTTGGGTTACTTTTTTGTTGCTATGCTATTTAAAGGATTTGAATCTAACAGATCGAATCAAATGCAATGATCGTTCAATCTTTAGTTCTAAGATATTTTTTACTAATGGGCCGCGGTTTTCATGATTCAGTCCGATCAATATAAATATTAATACTTAATATACGGGCTGGACAAATGAACTTATAACAATGAACAATCTTCAAATTTGAATTTCGAGTCTATAATTAAAAGCATCTTTCGTATTAATACACTGAGAGTTTAAGTATTATTGTTACATGCTATTGAAAGGATCTGTAGGGAAAGAAACACCCCACCCTCATATTCGAATTAGGGACATCCAAATGGAAAACTATCAACCAAACTTCTAAACCAAGTATCCTTTCCTACTACAATTGCACAATTAAAACTTTATGAAAAAGGGAATGAGGCTCGGTATAAAATGTTTTCTAATTTAATTCATTTATTTATCTACTCGCTATTTGTAAATAGGACATTTTTTATTTTTGTTTCTCATTGATACAAATAGGACATTTCAGATTTTAGTTTACCATTTATTTTTAGTACATTCTAATTATCTTAATTAACTTGGCCATAAATATTCTTAATAAAATCATAATATATTCATGACCGGCTAACATTTTGAAATAAAATAAATTATTATTGCTCAAAAAATTTGAAAATCACACAATCGAACATACATGTTATCAAGGTGTACTACATGTTACCGGCCGACGGGCCGGACACTAAACTAGTGTTTATTATAGAGTAATGAGTTAAGGTGATTCATATAAAGGTGATATACTGATATGCACTCTCACTATATCATTTTAGTTCTTGGGACTCCTTTTGTTCCTCCATTTCCCCGGGAGATCGTGACAAAATTTCACTCTTAATAATTATCCATTTAATTATTCTCTATCGGTAACTCATTTCTATCTTCACTCTAAAAATTGCTCGTTCAGAATAGCGAACGACTTTTTTTTGGGACAAAAGCTTGACCAAATCGCATCTGCTGTTTGAGAAATGAAAGATCTCAAAAAGTTATGCATAGGCTAGACATTCACTGCTTACGACGGTCGCGGTGAATGACCGCTTCTGACGACCGCGGTGATGTTATTCAATGCATTTGACGACCACAGTGAAGCCCAAATATGTGTAGATTGGGAATATTATTTATAACGTATGTAGTTTGGGATTTTTTTATTATAGCATGTGTATTTTCAATTTTTTTCCAAGGTGGTATCAGGAAAAAATCCATGACTCATCAAAAACTTATCCGCATAGCCTAACGATTTATAACATCGTTCTTTGTCCTGCATTAGCTTACCAGTTCGCAGAGCGGGAGCTGGAGTGAGAGCGGGAGCGAGAGCGTAAAAGCATTAATTATTTGAGAATTGAATTTTCAGAGCGTGACGAGAGCGTCAATATTAATATTATTTATAGTAAAATATTATATAAAATTTAAAAACTTATTAGAGGAAGTATTTAATACAATTTAATACATTAGTAAAGAGTTAAGTTCAATTTTTTACGAGAATCTCACATAAGCTTTTTACAATATTTCATGGAATAAAGTTTCTATTTCTAAGGATGTCTTCTCGACTATTTTTTATTGTTCTTTTTTAATTAAAAGATTTACACAAGTTTATTAATATGTGACAGCCCAAATAGAACTTAGTCCAACTGAAGCAAACTCAATCTGGTGTACTAGACCCAAACTCAAAGTGTGGTTTCTTTCTTTCATTATTTATTTTCGTTGGTTTTCTTTCTATAGTTGTTCTTAACGATATTCATCAATTAAAGTTGCCTTAAAGTTCCACCGCCAAATTGTAATACGGAATCATCTCCAAAGATCTTGGTCAGAGCAGGCATATGCCAAACGTGAATACCCCCCGAAGCCACGTGCAGGACACCTGGTAGAGAGACCCAATCGTCGAGTTAAATAAATACCATGGCTTCGATCTTTTTCAATAAAATAGGGAACTTTAATTGATGAAGATCGTTAAGAACAACTATAGAAAGAAAACCAACGAAAATAAATAATAAAGAAAGAAACCACACTTTGAGTTTGGGTCTAGTACACCAGATTGAGTTTGCTTCAGTTGGGTTAAGTTCTATTTGGGCTGTCACAAATTAATAAACTCGGCCCTTTTACTTTATCCTAGCTCAGTTTGCGATTTGATTTAAACCTAGCCCACTAAAGAGGTAGTAAAAGAGGAAAGAACTAAGAAGCCAAGAGCCACACAATTTCTCCGTCATTCGTCCCAGCCGTCTTCCCCTTCCATCATTCTTTCTTCCCTCTTCTGCTAAATCCAAATCCCTAAGTTATTTTGCAGAGACAACTCATTTTTGATAATCAGCTATAAAGTTTCTACTTCTACTTTCTCGCTGTCGTTTCATTTCCTTCCTTTCGCATGCACTGCGATCTCAGCGACAATGCTGTCATTCAATTGGCCATCACCACGAGTTTGAAGATCTTTAACCGTAGAAGGTTCTGGCAGAGATCCCAATAGGCAGTACATCACCAAAAATTGTAGTCTAGTGCCGATTGGAAATGGAGAGTAGAGGACAGATTGAATTCCTGAAAAGAACGCTCTCCCTAAACAATAGTCCGCGCTCTACAGACAATAATTCGCGTTTTTTTCACGAACTCTAGAAAAATCTCGTTTTGAAGGATTAGAACGGGAGCGTGAGGGTGAAGTGGACGGATTGTGTGATCTAAGTCCTGCACAAATTGCAATAATACGCAGCCCTGAGGACATGGAAGAATTGAAGCAGCATGACAAAAACACAAGCGTCCCAGAACAACACGGCTTTCAATTTAAGACCACTAGTCCACTAGACAAGAGTTACATGTTCACATTATTTACTCATTCCTGTGCTAAAACCCCACTAGTAATTCATGTGCCAAAATTAACAATCTAAACTTCCATTCCATACACTCGAAACAGCATGTATTATTCATTGCCTGTCACTCTTGACGCCCGAAGGGGCAGGCTAACTCTTGATCAATTTGCAGGAGAGGAGGATTGACAAACCCAACAGACAATGCATCGACCACCACCAAACGAATCATCCGTCCAAGAGATAGCAGATCATCCATACGAATCTCAGAAACATGTCACACACAACCACTCTAGTCTAATTATGTTTACAAGATCACCACTAAAGCCCCACAAACATTGATCTTGTTCAAAGCAAAGGCATAGATCAAAGACACGACAGCCAGACATGCCAAGCAGAATAATAGTTCATTTCATACATCTACAAACGTACCCTGCGTGAAAACACCAACAGTTGGAAAGAAGACAAACATCGCACCTAGCAGGTGTATTATTCTCGGCTTATTTCCATGCATGAAGAGTCCCATTCTAAAGATACTCAATGCATTATCACTTTATACACTCACTTCATGCATGTCAATTGGGACTAATGGACGACAGTAAAAGAAGCTGGCTACTCACCTGAATATAATCAACCCACCTTAAGCAGCAAGCAAGCAATTCGGAGTTTCTATCCACTTGCGTCTATAAAGAAAAGACAATTCACACAAACTGTATCAATCCTGGGGCTAAGGCGAAAGGTCAAGTCTATTGTGAGCAGGCAAAAAGGAGAAAAAGGGGCATTGCTCAGCAAACAACCTACCTCTTAATCTCCCTCCGATTAAGAACAACACCCCCAAAGGTAATGGAACATAGTAAACCTCCATCATACACAATTCCTAGAGTACAAAATAACCACATCTCAGAGCAGACTCTCTCTCAGTATGGCCGTGAACGATTCCCTCCATGCTGATGCCTGTCAGGCCCAGAACCGCCTCTGTAGTTATCCCTCCGCCCACCATATCCACCACCTCTGCCGCCTCCACTGTTGCACAGTAAATCAGGGGGAATGTTGCAAATCAATCAGTGAAATACAAACCAGGCGAGCTGTAAAGTGATTCACGCAACTAGTTGTAAGGCAGTCCAGATAATAAGCTCTACCACAGAATAGAAAACAAGACTAAAGAGAACAAGGCCAATGACAAGGATGCTTCTTAAGGTCAGTACAACCATGGAGCTAACCTTAGCACGAACGTGCAATAAGAATAAGTGCACCTAAAGACTTCAGCAGAACCTATTATTCTGATGATGACAACACTAACAATCACAAACAATCACAACAGGAAGAAGAAAAAAAAGAGATATCCTGTGAAAAGGAATGATCCACACAATGCTTGTCAGGCATAAGTATTAATGCATGACAAGGAAGACCATAAATGGTGAAAAGAATATACCCATGCTCAGGTTGCCTCAAAGCTGTCTTCTCGGCCATCATAACACTAATTTTGTTACCTCTCATTTCATGATCTGAAAAAGAAATTCAAGTGTATCAGCAATTTTCATGGTTGATAAGCACCATGTTTCAAGACCTAGGTAAAAGGTTCCACCCCATACTGTTGTAAAAGCCACCAGCAGAATGTGCAGCAGATGGATCCTCATAAGATAAAACTGCATCGCCTTTCTGGTTGCCCTTTTCATCAGTATATATCTTTATGTTCCAAGGCCATTGATCCTTGTAGCCCCTCTTCTGCTTAATCCTTCCAACCTGCCAACAAATTTCAAATTTACTGAGGACATTTCAATTGCAAGCTGCCATCAAAGGAATCATAAAAGGGTGTATAGATGCATTTTTAAACCAGAAAGATAAAATAAAATAAAATGACTAATTACACAAAAGCTGTGACTTTTAGACAAGAATCGGTCTTGCAAATGCCAAGAGAATAAGAAGAGCCTCCCATAATCAGCATGGGCTTCAATCCAAAGAACTTCCAAACAGTTCAGAAATGTTAAAATGAGACAATAGCACATGGATCAAACTACCAAAAGAGACCCGTGATTCTACCAAAGAAAAGAAACTCATATCGAAGACCCCAAGTCTGAGACAGAAGGAATATATGCAAAATGCAAATAAACAAAGAAAATCCAGCATTACTTGTCCAATTCCACCGAAAAGCTCTTGCAATTCTTCAACCGTCACATCAGCAGGCAAATTAGATATGTAAATTCTAGAGTTGTCGCAGGTGTCACCACAATTCTCATCACATTGCTTAATTGCAGGAGCCGCATCAGCACCAACATCATTACCACCATAACCACCACTTCCTCCTTGACTCCTCGATCCACCACTACTACCATGCCCAGCTGGAGGGCCACCACGACCACCACCTCTTGCATCACCAGTTGCTTCACTACCATAGCCGGACATGGGAGGAGCACCATAAGATGGAGGGTATGATGTAGGACCGCCGGTATAGCTTGTAAGTGGCGGAACTGCATTTACACCACCATAATTAGCATTCCCTCCATACGAGTTGGGAGGTTGAGGATAATTACCTCCACCACTACCATAAGCTGGAGCTGCTGCAGGAGGAGGCACCTGATTATATCCATCTTCTTCTCCTCTACCACCATAAGACCCAACTCTATTGCCGCCGCCTCCACTTCTACTCTCATAACCCCCACTTCTACCACCACTGTTGTAACTTCCACTTCTATTGGCATCATCTCTGCCACCTCCTCGGTTCTCAGAATACCCACCTCTGTTATAACCATTCCCACCTCCGCCACCACCGCGATCATTTTTGGCACCAGCGGGAGAAGGCGTGTTGCATTTATTGCACTCAGTTCTTCTTGCAAAATTCAAGTTCCCACAGCTACGTAACGAAGCAAATAGGACTTCCAACAGTTAGAACCGTTGCCAAATGGGAGACGCTATGGTACCCAACTCACCGAACCAGAAATAACCTTCAAACCCCCAATAGATTCGTGTATACCAAGATATGATAACACAATGGAAACCTCAAAAAGTGATAGTTAACGAAGATGATAGTGAAAAAGAAAAGATTACCCAGGATTAGGGCAAAGCCAATCGCCATCTCTGCCACTATCTCCACCTCGACCACCTCCTCTGCCGCCGCCTCCACGGTCTCCTCTTCCTTGATAACCACCGCCGCCACCTAAAGACCAGATCAAGCCAGACTTCGCTCGGGATCAAATCATACTTTACGAGAAAGAAACAGATAACACTAGCTCGTACCAAATTCATCCATCAACCTCTGAAAATTACAAAAAGAAAAAATTGACGAAATACCGCAACTTTGGGAATTACCTCCATATCCACCACCTCCCCCTCTACCGCCACTCCGACCTCCGCCATTACCTCCACCGCCGTATCGACTACCGCCTTGATAAGGAGGAGCGGCGGAATCGCCGTTTTGGCTGTACATACCGGACATTATCTGGAAGTCTCTGCTTCGGAATTCGGATGTCCCTTTTCCGGTTATGTCTTCTGTGACTGTGGTTATCTCCCTCGTCGAGGCGCTGGAAAAACCCACACGACTATTAGTTAGGGTAGAAAGATTGAAGATTGGTCGGCTGTGTGTTGTGTACAAACAAGGCTTTTTTTTGTCTCAATTCTTCCCTTCTACGCGGTATAAAGAAGCCTGATAATCAGGCCCATTGCTTTGACGGATATTTTTATTCTCGGTTGTACACTTGTACTACAAGGCTTAAGCCCGCTCCCGCCCAATACTGTAAAGAGTAGCAGACCGAGCGAATGGGCCGAGCCCCAATTGCTGATTCACTTATTACCGGAGTGGTTTCCTGTACCTAGATTAATACAGTGGTTTTAGTAGATGATTAAGTGTTAACAGAATGTACGAATTCCAAAAATACACATGTTTTTAAAAAGAATTCTCAAAATACACACGTTATAAAAAAAATTTCCAAAATACACATGTTTGGGCATCACCGCTGTTGTCAACCGCAGTGAATGCATTCACCGCAGCAGACCAAAGCGGTGAATGCATCACCGCGGTTGACGGCCGCGGTGAATGTCTGACGTAACACTGGAACTTCAAACAAACGTAACTTTCCGCTCGGTTATCCGATTGTAGCGAAATTTTTTTTGATTCCATATAAATTTTCAAGATCTTTCAATCTGCAACAATACTTCATCTCAAAAAAATGTCGTTTGTTACCCCGAACGAGCAATTTTTCTATTTTGCCAAACTTTGGAAGGACATAACTTTTAGCTTCAATCCGAACGTCATAAAGTTTTTTTTTATTGCGCATAACTTTTTAAGAGCTACAACTTTGAAAAGAAAATAATTTTAAAAAAAGAAGTATTTTTGGTTATACGGTATTTTGGGAATAACTTTGCCTTTACTTTTCACAAATCCACATACTTTCCAAAATTATGGTTATAATCAAAGTTATAGTATTTCAAAAGTTATGCAAAATCAAAAAAAGTTTCATGACATTCGGATTGTGGAGCACAAAGTTATGATCTTCCAAAGTTTGTCAAAATCGAAAAATTGCTCGTTCGGGGTAGCAAATGATTTTTTTTGGAGATGAAGTCTTGTATCAGATTGAAAGATCTTGAAAAGTTATGTGGAATCAAAAAACAATTCGCTACAATCGGATAACCGAGCGCAAAGTTACGTTTGTTTGAAGTTTCAGTGTTACGTCAGGCATTCACCGCGGCCGTCAACCGCGATGATGCATTCACCGATTTGGTCTGCCGCGGTGAATGCATTCACTGCGGTTGACAACAGCGGTGATGCCCAAACATGTGTATTTTGGGAAATTTTTTTATAACGTGTGTATTTTGAGAATATTTTTTAAAAACGTGTATTTTGGGATTTTTTCCTAAAAGAATAATAATAGCATCATACCAATTGTAAAATCAAGGGTATATATTGTTCTTATTGCCGCATTTGCATTGAACACGACCTGATTGTTATCCACAACACACCATTTGAACCATGTCCTTACTACTCCCCGACCCAAATTCAACCCGTTACTTCGTCCCCCTAAACCAGATCCTTACTACTCCCTTGCCCAAATTAGAAAGTAAATACTCCCCAGTGCCTCTCAAATCCCCCACTCACTATGCTCCCCTTGTTCTCATATAAAACATTCAATACAAAAATCTATAACGGCAGATTCTGAGGCATAAGTGCAGTCCCATACTTGGCATGAAGATATTCCACCAGAGCTTTCATGAATATCTAAGCAGTTTGTCAAGCAACATCGGTTGCTTCATCTTTGCCCACTTTGGCAAAAAACAATGGCAATACAAGAAAACACACGTTAGTGTTGGTTATTTCTTATGTTTTGTGTCGGTTTTAACTAAAACAAAAACAATTTTTGTCGGTTTACTTAACCGACAGTGAACCTGCCGACACTAACGTGATTCATGTCGATTATTGGCAACCGCTGGAATAACTGACACAAATTTACACATAATATAATAGCAGAATGAGGAAACCTATTGCTCCATTTCAAATTTCCTGCAATGAGTGTGAAAGTAACGATAGTGAAAGTAGGAAAGACATTTTGGTCTTCACAATCACCTATTTCTTTTTTACACGTAGTGGAATTTGAACCATGGTCACTTTAAAGAAAAGGAAGGATCATAACAATCACACTAAGTATATTTGTTGTATCTTTTTAAATTAAACATATAAACCAACCTAAAATCTGAAAATACATGTCTTTTCAACAATTAGTTGGCCACTGAATCTCCTATAAGTACTTAAGTGTTTTGATACTTTCATTTTCATACATTGATTATTTTATAGTTATAGTTTAATAGTCAAATTAATTTTCTATATATCTTATAAGTATATAATAACCCTACAATTGCATCCCAAATATCACTGGTTCGAATATTGCATATCGAAATTACAATATTAAATATATAAAAGAGATATCAAATTCTTAAATTACCTATTAGTTTTCAGAACTACTATGAAGCAATCATATCTTTGTGCCAACTATATGGGACTGGTTCGTTTAATATTTTAGTCAGGCCAACTGCTACGTTTAAACCAGTTCCTAATCCAACATGATTGGATCCAAAGATCATTATACAAGATTGAGTTTAATAGGATGGTTCACCACTTTTTGGCGTGTTAATGAATTTATAGAGAAATGACATGTCTACATCTAGACTCATCAATCATCACAATCTACACAAAACATAAAGGTGAAATGAGAAATATGGGATCCCATTTTAATTTGCTGCATTCAGAGCAATTTTTAGAGGGGTAAATTTAGAAGGCGCCAATGCGGCCGGTCTGTTGAGCATGGATGTAAAAATATGTTTTGATTTAAACGGGCCCAAACTGTGATTGGACACGCTAATCTTGCACCCATCGCAGCCTCGCAAAAGCTTCCATTCTACTCGCTAAACAAACCTACTCTCTTCATGTACCCAAAGTTCTAAACCCTAATCTCTAAAATCTAGGCCAAATATTCTAACTGGAATGCAAAGAGGGAGCAACCGACGGATTGCAGCTACCCCCACTGTTCTTATAGATCAAGAAGACCACGTTTGTTCAGCTTTATGGTGATTCACTTAATTAACACACTCATATCCTCAATTGTATTCGGTTAATAAAGATTTGAAGGCAACAGATTCTATTAAGTTGTTCTATTTGTAATATGAAGATTTTTCTTAATTGCTTTGGTTTGTGATGCATCTATGTATGAAGGTGACCAACCTAACAACAGTACATCTCCAGAGCCATTCTGAACATCAGGTAGTTGGGTCATTAATGATAATGATTTTGGACTATTCCAACAAGTACAGAATTTGGAACGTGTCTTTATCTTACATTGTTTAATAGTGGTTTTGAGATTTTTCAAATGAGTCTTTGATTTGACATGTTAAGCTTGGTTTCGTAATGCCCTTATGGATGTTTATTCTCTAAAATCTAGCGTATTTCAAAGTAACCCATCACAAATTGTAGGTATACATTTATATCATTAGCAGGAAGCAAATTGTATCCATTATACTATATCATTTAGTTAAATGCTTAGTTGTTATTTTCAACTAAAAGTTGTGCTTAAATATTGTGATTGGCCTGAGAAATGTATGTCTATGCATTAACTGTTAATGATGGTGAGTTTTGGTTTAATGGTGAAAAGTTCATTTATTTAGAAGTAACCCAATATTTGAATTTTGTTTTGAAGTGTGAATTGGACATAGGCATGCCATAAATTAGTGTCGTGGGAGGGTTTTTTGATATCTCAGGGTTTTGGATTTTCTAGAGGGTTGTTTGCTATGACAAAGAGTCCCTAAAGCTAACAAGGTATTCCTATGTGGGTTTTTCTGTTGTTTGACTGTTTCTCGCCTTTTTCCATATCGCTTTTCCTATTTTGGCTTTTGTGTGCTACCTTCAGCTGCTGGGTCTTCATTTGTGAGTCATTTATACCTTTTTTTATCAGCACCTCAAAACCATTTAAACTCAATTGGATAGTAGTTACTAAGAGGTTGGTTTAAACCATAAGTTTTATCAGTTGTTCGTTTCAATATTTACTTACAATGGTTATTTATGTAGTTTTTTTAACATTTGGTCATTATACAATTAACTACTACGGCTACATTAGTTGCATAAGTGGGGGGTTGGGATTGATAGTTCTCAGAAGCAGCAATACTCGAAGGCTATAATAATGACCAAATCTTAAAGTTATGGTTTGCCTTCAACTTGTTTGGAGCATTTAAGATATGATTCAATTGCTCTCTCTGTGTAGTTGATTGTAGTTGCATTTGGGGATCGACTGGCTTCTTCAAAGTCTTTAGTTCAATTGTTGGCTCCGAGGTCATCAGGGTTTTGCCCTCTAACTACTGATAAAGAAGTGAGTTATAGTAACTCCCCGTGAGTTAAATTCTTCCAAAAGTTTTTTTTTTTGCTTAGAAATAATATGGACATTATATCCTCTGACATAATACATAGTTTGATCACTTGATTACTATTCAAGTGGAATTGATCTAGTCGATTGGCATTCATATAGTTTACTGGTATGGAGCTGCTCCTCTTTGAATTACATAAATATGCATAGGCGGGTATTTAAAGAAAACCTCCTTCCTCGAGGTGATCCCTTTCGCTCCTCTGCAAGTGTTTTTGTTATTTTTTTAGTTTTCCTTCCTGAATGTATATGCTGATGTTCCTTTTCTTATCTGTAAACTTTTGAGGGTTCAAGGAGAAAATTGAAATATCATCAACCTTTAACTTATATCATATCAATGTCGAAATATCATCAACCTTAACTTATATCATATCAATGCCTAATGTTTTGGCAGCCAATTTTTGATGCTTCAACTTTCAGCACAAACAAATTTGCTTATGTTTACGTTGGTGTCTTTTGCATGATGTTAATTCCAAGAATGAGAAATTTTCCGGTTCTCTTTTGGGTTTGAAAATATTATTGGTGTGGGTTGTGCATAGAGATTTTTAAGTATGAATGCCGCTTTTTCTTATCGAGTTGTGGACATTTTGACTTATTTTTCTGGTCAACTTAGGTAGCTATATTCATTGGAACTGGTGTGGATCTAGAGAACAATGTATGTAATTTACGTTGTTATGAATATATCCTTTACTTA